AACCTCACCCTCAGTTTGAGCTAACTTAGTCAGGGGACGTTCCACCTGTACTGCTAAGCCACTATCGGAACGCGAGCGCGGAATACGGGCGGCTTCGCTAGTACTAGACCCTGAGGTGGACACCCTACGTGTATCCTTACGCGAAACCTTGCTTACCTCCTGCTGATCTCGCTGAGTAGTCGAGCGAAGATGTTGCACAGTGGCGGCCCGCGGGATGTTGCGACGTAGAGGCTCCGTGGGACTTATGCTTCCCTGTGTAATAATTAGCTTACGAAAAACAAGATGAGAAAAAGGAAAAGAGAAAGATGCAGCAACAAACGCGAAGCGAACAGGCAAGGACTAAGCAATAAAAAGCCTAGCGACTACTAAAGAGTACTACACCCGCCCCACCTAAGCTGGTGTCGCTGAAAAGTTGCGTTGTATTGAGCTGCAAAAATTAAGAGTAGCTGCGTGAAACAGCTGGAATAATTAGTAACGCTGCGTCGGGAAAGAGTGGAGTACCGACTCGATAAGCTTGCAGCGTTTACTCCATCATATCATTGCGCTTAGGCGTACAAAAGTCTCCGTATTCAAATAGAGGAAATTGCACCACCTGTTGTGCTGATAACAATAGTTTGCCTCGGCCTGAGAAGCTGGTCCAGGTCCGGATATAGCTGCACAGGTAACAGGTAGCGGATATTGCAAATGACCGGTCGCGGCTCGATGTCGACCCTAACGCCGCGAGCCAAAAGACCTATGTAAATGAGTACAGGAGATTTGCCAAGAGGCTCGAAGATGTGGAATCAGCCGATGGTGCCGGTGTCTGACTGGAGTGGCCCGAACACCACGACGAAGAAAAGTGTTGGTGTGAAAACCAAAAGGGATTGCGCCCCGGGCGTCCTCTGCGTGGCCTGGGGTTAACTGCCTCGATGTAAACTGCAGTAGCGAATTGAGGCTAGTGAAAGCAAAAGAATTGGTGTGACCCCGTATAATTCGGCCAGAGGTACGCGAAATGCTCGTTAAGCACAGAAAAGCTCGAACCTGCTGTTCAGGTGAGCTGAATATATGGTATAAGAAAAATGTTAGGCTGGGCTGGCCAAGCCTAGATGGTAAAACGAGTTGATCGTATAAAAGTATTCGGGATCGAGTGTCCAACAGACGGCTGTGCGTAACACAGTATCAATTGTGAAAGTGACCGAATACGAAAGCAAATCGACCCAGTAGAAAATGGCCCGAAATTGCTGAATGGTAGGGCAGCTGTGCGTAACACTGCTGACCGGCTGCGGCTGGCGTGACCTAGCCTGCCTAACCTACCAAAAAGGGTGCTGGGAAAAGCAACCCGAATATCCCCTAGGCGACAGAACACCTAAGGTAAACCCAAAACCGAACTTACTTGGTCTTCTAGCCTGATTTAGGCTTTACGGCTATGGAATGCAGGGTGGCTTGGCGAAGTCCTGCAGGTAGCTTGAATGCTGACTAGACGGCACACGAACGGGCAAGTCGTAATACGCAGCAAATAGCAACCCGCGAAAGGGGCCAAGATTCCCTCCAGGCAATCAATCAACAGCGATAGGGGTTTACCTTACCGACTGAGTATGCCCGGCGTGAAGGATATGGGCGTTGAGTGGCCCACACAGGAGTTCGGCTGGTTAAGGGATGTTACTTATGCGGCTTGAAAGAAGGGAGGTCCGCACAGGGCTTGTTGTCTAGCTCAGAGAACTTTACAATGTTCCGATCATGAGCCGTAAAGCGACTTTTCCAAGCTCGCTGCCGGCTATAAATACCAAAGTCACACTGTCGATCACAGGAGGCCCTCAAAAGATAAGCCTCGAGTACGACCACGACGTATAGTCCCCAAATGACACAAGTGAAACACCTTATAAACCGTGTGACAGAACATTCACACAAGAAATGAACAATTAACAAGTACATAAACATACGCGAACGAGCGTACATTCTCGTCTCGTCCATAAGTCCATCAGCGAAGTGTAAGATAAGAACCAAACACCTTACGCGATAATACACAAAATTCGCGTATTCACACCGATTATAACCTAAGACGATTATAAAAGACGGTAAAATGAACGTGACGCTAAAATGTCGTGACATAAATGCCAATGTTAAAATTCTCGGTTGTCGTCTATGAAGGCCAGTGAATGCGGCGAGCATGCAGGATACAGCGATTTGATGTGATACTAGTCTCAAATGCCTATATGCATCAAGTAATGTAGATCTGAGCAATCCCGCATGCACTGTGCGAAGGTCCGCTGGCCTTGAGGTAGCATCGCTCGCAACACTTCTCCTTCCAACATCTCCACTTCGTCCGCAGTGGTCGTCATCATTTATATTGACACTTGTACACCTCCACGCTCACAATGCCCGACCTGCGAGGCGAAACCTGGCTGTCATACTGCGGCAGTGCCGACATCCACAAGCACGGTGACAGCGTAATGTAACAAGCCATTCCATACCTCTTTACTTGCATTTTTAAAGGAGAAGTGTTAAGAAATGGCTCCATACCTTGACAAAATGTCCACGAAGGCTGCAGCTTCAACCGGCGGCTGCTGTGTAGCAGCACCATGGTCTCATATGTCCACGTAAGATGTGCGTTGTAATGCAGATGAGTTCCGTTACCATGCAAGTATTAAGCGCCATGTAGCGAATAGGGAAAAATGCGTGGCTGCGTGGATCTCACGCCGGATATCCTCACATGAGGGCCTTGCGATATCCTCACTTGCGGGACTTATGCCGTACCTCAAGGCCTCTGCGTACCGAGGACGCAAATGAATGTTATCACATGTAAGAACGTTCTCGCCCTGCAGTGCAGCTGAGTGTAACGTCCTGCGTGTTTGAACGTGTCCCCGGTATGCCTCCATGTACATGTACCTACATCGACGCAGTGTCCCTGAAATGTTAAAGTACTAGTGACGAACTTCTGAAAGGCAGATGTGCTTTGTATCCGGTCCTGCTTCTCAAGAAGCACAAATCCGCAAAATGAACGCGCTGTGCAGGCCACCGCAGCCCAACGAACTTCATAGTGCATTAGCCTCGAATGACGGCCTGTGTGTGATCTGTAGCGTGGCCGAGGAGTTGCAGGCAATGAATTTCGATCACGGTGCGTGGACGTCACTCCAGGCAATGGAACGTATTCAACTGGACGTCCGCCTAATATTCATGCAGACAAACTTTATGGGAAACCAAATCCACCATAATTTACATAATAAGAGCGCGGAAACATACAAACCACCCAAGTTGCGGGCTCTGGCTGCTGTGGACGTCGCATAATGCCCGCGGTACTCTAAGGACAAGGCGCATGCTGCGGGCATCACTGCGGAGGACGTGGCTATGGAATGCAGGGTGGTCTAGGCGAAGTCCTGCAGGTAGCTTGAATGCTGACTAGACGGCACACGAACGGGCAAGTCGTAATACGCAGCAAATAGCAACCCGCGAAAGGGGCCAAGATTCCCTCCAGGCAACAAATCAACAGTGATAAAGATTTACCTTACCGACTGAGTATGCCCGGCGTGAAGGATATGGGCGTTGAGTGGCCCACACAGGAGTTCGGCTGGTTAAGGGATGTTACTTATGCGGCTTGAAAGAAGGGAGGTCCGCACAGGGCTTGTTGTCTAGCTCAGAGAACTTTACAATGTTCCGATCATGAGCCGTAAAGCGACTTTTCCAAGCTCGCTGCCGGCTATAAATACCAAAGTCACACTGTCGATCACAGGAGGCCCTCAAAAGATAAGCCTCGAGTACGACCACGACGTATAGTCCCCAAATGACACAAGTGAAACACCTTATAAACCGTGTGACAGAACATTCACACAAGAAATGAACAATTAACAAGTACATAAACATACGCGAACGAGCGTACATTCTCGTCTCGTCCATAAGTCCATCAGCGAAGTGTAAGATAAGAACCAAACACCTTACGCGATAATACACAAAATTCGCGTATTCACACCGATTATAACCTAAGACGATTATAAAAGACGGTAAAATGAACGTGACGCTAAAATGTCGTGACAGCTGTCGCGTCACATGACTGTAGCACCGAACAAAACACGTGCAGACGTACGGCAGACTCCCCCCCCCAGCGGGCGAAGCCGAGATGGTGAATGCCCGTGGAAAGCTCCATGTACGCACATTCAAAG